TGGTCACAGGCTTTGCCCCCCAAACTCCAGCAAGAACAGGATAATTTACATTTCTCTGAGAAGCAGGAGGGTCAACATCGTTGAGCACCAGTTTTGTTCCAGGTGCCAGTTAATGCTCATTGAAACCCAGCCTTATTAATCCCTCTTATCCCCTTTTTTATGGAAGCTGAAGTCTTGGGGGATTTACTGCAATACCTGAGTGCCGGAACCAAGACCTGAACCCAGGAAATGTGACTCCAGAGCCCAGCTCTTGACAATGCACACTGAATGGAATCCTCACAACTATCCCATTACATTGTGGGAGGGTTGTCGCTGTACCCATTAATCAGATGACAAAACTGAGAGACGGAGCTGCTTGCCCAAGGGCTAAGTGCCTTCCGTCTGGGGGAGTCTCTTTATCAACATGCGTGCCCTGCCACCCAGCCTGCAGGCAGAGGAATGAGAAGCCATCGGCTCCCCTTGAAAGTGGCCGGGAGCCAGCCAGCCTCTGTATTTCTCTGAATGAGGGTGATTCAGCAGAGAGAGATACAAAAGCAGCAACAGGTACCGTCTCTTCCTGGGCCTTCACCTACATCAGCTCATGAGCTCTTCCCATCTTGCCAGGTCAGGAGAGGGTAGATTCTGGTCGCTCTTGGCACCTGCCATCTGCGTTACCGGCTTGGTATACCTATCCCCGAGCTGTTTCACTGGCTTGGAGGCAATGACCGGCAGACAGATGCTGGAACGTCACAGCAAGCCTCCCCCTTGATCTGAGCAGGTGAGCCCCTGGGGTGCACTTCACGCCCCAGGGCTGCCTGTGAGACCAGGCTGTGGCCGAGGCTCTCCCCAAACACCTTCCATGTGGCTCTGTCTGTCCCTGCTCTGTCCTGCTTCCCTCGTTCCCCTGCAAGTGCCTCCTGACAGCCCTCCCTCAGTAAATTACTCACACAAGAATCCTCTCATCAGCCTCTGCTTCTGCAGACACTGACTAAAAGCGGATGGTAACCCATATTTTGGTACCTTTCTGTTTTGTTTGCATCTTTTTCTAAGAAGGTAATGAGTGCTTGCAAAAGAAGACCTCAGGGGCGCCTGGATGGCTCAGTTGGTTAAGTGACCATGGCTTGGCTCAGCTCATATCATGGTTCGTGGGTTCGAGCCCCGCATCAGGCTCTGTGATGACAGCTCAGAGCCTGGATCCTGCTTCGGATTCTGTGTCTCCCTCTCTCTCTCTGCCTCATCCCCCACTCATGTTCTGTCTCTGTCTCTCAAAAATAATTAAAAAATGTTAAAAAGCTGTAAAGACAAGAAAACTTCAAGCAGTGCAGAAGTATATAAAGTAAAAGTGAAGATCTCAGTCCCCCATCCTTATACACACAGGTAACCACTGTCAACAGCTTAGAGTGAATCCTCTCAAAGACAGGTCCTTTTCAAAGCCTCAGTCATGCAAATGTATTATTAAATACAGATTAATACAGATTAAATACAGATACATTTATAAATTCACACAATTTTATGGACACAGATGGGATCGTGGAATATAGAATCTACTGTGCTTCTCCACAACAGTAGTTACTAATCATAGATGGCTGCGTTTAAATCTGAAAAAATATTTTTAATGGAAACATTCCATTCTTCAGTCCTATTAGCCCTATTTCAGTTGTTCACTAGCGCCTTTTGACCAGGGGTCACCGTACATCCAGAATATGTCCATCATCACAGAAAGTTCTGTTGGACGATACGGTTGTATTATTACTTGCTTTTGCATTGGAGGTAGGTCTTGCAAACCAAGAGAAGCAACATTAGTAAAGCACAGAAGCTGGGTGATGGGTACATGGGAGTTTGTTACACTATTTCCCCTACTTTGAAGGTTTAAATGTTTCTATAATAAAAATTAGAGAAGAATATGTTTGGGGCACCTTTCCATGTCGGTCCCTACAGACTTAACTCATGCTTTTGAACATCTGTGTACCTTCCATTGTGTCCATAGGACGTGACCGTGACAGAAACGGCTTGTAGGCAAAAATCAAGCAGTTACTCCACACTCCCTGTCCATACTACGAAGCTGTCACTGGCAAGCAGCTGTCCAACCTCAACTACATTTCCAGCTCACCTTGTGTCCAGGTATGGCCATATGACCTTGAACAAATACAGCGTGCATCATTGCCAGTACGGGGTTTTTATAAAGTGGGTGTGCATTCTCCACTGTTCCTTTTTCCTTCTTCTAAGGTCTGCACAAGACTCTAAGACCCTAGCACGGCTGAGCCACAAGACAGAAGGAGTCCAGGTCTCTGAATTATGGCTTGGGGAATGCCACTCACTGATCAGAAATATCTGCATTAGATCCTTAAACAAACAAAAATTAAATTTCTTTGTATTAAGCCATGGACAGTTTGGGTTTGTTACAGTAGCTAGTGTTACTCTATGAAACACAACATCTTATTCAGCCAGTCCCGTCGTGTAGACATTGTTCATTCCAAGTTGTTACCAAAGTAGTTTAAGCACACATTCTCGCATCTATGGTGATGTTTCTCTATAAATTATATGAATATCATTTGGAATAAATTTCTGGATTAGGAATTGCTGCGTCGATGTGTATATACATTTTAAAAATACGTTTAATGTTTATTTATTTTTGAGAGTGAGAGATAGTGTGAGCATAGGAGGGGCAGAGAGAGAAGGAGACCCAGATTCTGAAGCAGGCTCCAGGCTCTGAGCTGTCAGCACAGAGCCCAACGAGGGGCTCGAATTCTGGAATTGCAAGATCATGACCTGAGCCGAAGTGGGATGCTTAACCAACTGAACCATCCAGGAGCCCCAAAGTGTATATGCATTTTTATAACATATTATTAAGTATAATAGACACAGAAAAGCACAAATATCATAAGTGGACACTCAGATGAACTATTGCAAAGTTGACATCTCGTTTTTATGAAAAATAGTTATACATTTTTAATCCCAATAGTGCTCAGTTTTCCCATATGTTAAGGCTTTTGAATTCTCACTTACAAATTCCTTGTACATGCTTCAACTATAACATCTCTCACACTCTCTACGTGGGGCACACATTCTTTCTTATCTTTAACTGCCCACCTTGCCTGTGCTGTATCAGACCTGGGCTAGGTCCCAGAGCTGTGGAAATTAATACAATGACTTCCTTACCAGCCAAGGGCTTTCTGGAATCAATGATAATAATCATTTTTTCAAAATTAAGGTGACCCTTTTGGAAATACATGATTTTCTCTTTTCCACTTATATGGATGTGAATCCACTCCCCAACACACTCTGCCAAAGAATTTCATCTTCTTCAGGAAAAAGTAAGATGTCTTAGCAGTAGACACATGATGAAAGCAAAGTAGCAACATTCAGGTTTTAATTACCAAACTAGATGTTTGGGTTTCCAGCAAGATATGAGTCTTGAAAGAAAGCCTTATAAGAGAAATGAGTCTGGGGGATCTAGTATACAGCATGGTGACTCTAGTTAAAAATACTGTCCTACAGGGGCACCTGGGTGACTCAGTCGGTTAAGCATCCAACCGTGGGTCAGATCTCAGTTCGTGGGTCTGAGTTTGAGCCCCGGATCAGTCTCTCTGCTGACAGCCCAGAGCCCACCTCAGATCCTCTCTCTCTGCCTCTCCCTTGCTCATGAGCGTGTGCACACACACGCTCTCTTCTCTCTCTCTCTCAAAAAATAAACATTTAAAAACAAAACAATAGTGTAGTATATGCTTGGTAGTTGCTATGAGTAGATCTTAAATAGCTTCAACTACGAAAGAAAGGTGATGAAGATGTTAGTGGACACTGTGCTGGTAATCATTTCTCAATATATGTGTGTATCAAGTCAACAGTGTACACCTTAAACTAACACAGATTGTTATACGTCAGACATAACTCAATCAAAACAATTTTCAGGAATCAGGTTTGGAGGACTAGAAGGTAGAGTTTTCAATAAGCCTAGGCGTAAGGCAAATACCTATCACAAGGGAAGAGAAAAAACTATGGGAAGCTAATTGAGAGAGGAGATGAGAAGGACCTATCAGAACACCTGTTCCTCTGCCACCTCACCTCAGAAAATCCCACACCGAATGGGTGAATTTAGGATATCAAGAGTAGGGGCTGACTTCTCCCAAAAGAAAGCAGGTAGGGTTTCCAAGTTAGAAGAGAAGGTTGCTTTCTGTGGGTATCACATCTAACAAGGTGTGAAAGCCAACAATTAGAACCCACAGAGGGAAGTAGCTAGTAGGTAGTTCTAAGAAAGCTCTTTTTGTTTATTACAGCATGAACACAGAAAGCAGAAGCTCTTGCATGGACCCCTGGGGCGGGGGGGAAGCTGCTGAGAGGAGAATGACACAAGCAAGGTGGGGCCATGCTCTACCAGTAGACAAAACACCCCAGACAAAACACCCCAACCAGAGTCTACCTTCCACATCCATAAGATCCTAGAAGTTGCCCCTATACCAATATCCAGCTGCCATCTTGGGAGGGTAGGAAATTGGAAAGATTAACTGTTTGTACAACATAGACTGAGTTTCCCAGAGAAGGCTGAGCCAGGAAACTGAGACACTGAGAACACTACGAACTGGCAATATTTTCCCTCTCCATCCAGCAGGAGCTTAGACGGAAGAAGGAAACAATACATTTTAAAAATGCAGTCCCACCACACTACCATTTATGACGTTCTTATCACATGTACCAGGTGGTTAACCAAGTTACCTCTTTTGATTTAGGCTTCCAACATCCCTGTAGATGGGAACCTTTGGTATCTGTATTTCACAGCTGAGGAAAGTGACAATCAGAGCGGTTTTGTGTGCGTTATCTGAGGTCACACAGTGAATGCAAGACCACATAGGTAAAAGCCTAGAACAGGAACTAGGAGACCCAGATATTATTTATCCCTTTCTTTGGCACTAAGTAACTCCCAGCAAGTGTTCAGCTGCAGCTCAGCCTCCTGGGACACAAGGGTCTCCTCCCCAGAAAACACCTTCCTGCACATTGAGCATATGGATTCTCTTTGACCAACTTACCAGTTGTCGTTGATTCTATTGAGAAAAAATGTGAGCTGCATAAACCACAACACCCTATAAACAAAGAAAAGAAAAATATCATGAACCATCAAGAAGCAATGTGGGCTTAATCTGACAAAGTGCTCCAGTTCTGATGAGTCCATATGAGAGATCCAACTGAGTGACACACAATATTTCATATAATGTTCACAGAAGCCATTCCTGCTTTTTTGCACTGTATGGTTTTCGTTTTGTTTGTATCATCTTAATTTTTTTCAAGGACAGAACAAAAACGTACCAGCTGACTTTCAAAAACATACACTAAGACATGTACTCTCAAAAAAAAGAGAATTCCCCAAATTAGCAAAACCTGGCTCTTGGGGATAGATCCCCTCCCCCATGCTCGCTCACTTGCTCTTTCTCTCTCTCTTGCAAATCTAAATAAACTTTTAAAAAATTGGCTAAAAGGCAGTGCAGCCCCCAGCACTTAGCTCTTTTCCAACATTACAGCCTCCACTTCCACAACCCCCACAACCACCACCCTCTGAACCCACCATCTCTACCCCCAGCACCAATGACGTCATCACCACCTTTTGCTGATTAACTTCAAGACAGAATAAGGCACTAGAGCTAATATCAGGGCGGACAGGCCAAAGCAACAACTTGGCATTCCTGCAGGTGGAGTCCACGAGTTACCTACTCCTTCTAATGAAGCCTCCCAGTCAGCAGGTCCAATAGCTTCTAAATCCCAACATTCCAGTTCATTTTCACTAGCTGAAATCCTCTTGCTAGTTAATTATTTTAGAGGCAACAGAGCATCATTTTTCAGCATGCCAACTCTAGAGTCAAAATGCTTGAGCTTAAAAATCTGGCTTCATGAATTACTGACTGCATGGCCTTAGGAAAGTTATTCACTCTCTTTGGGCTTAAGTTTTCTCTTCCACAAATAGATGCACTGATGCCCAGGTGGGGAAGCCTGCACTTGTTGCTTGAAACACTGTCCTGCATTCATAGATTTGAACAAGTGACCAACATTTGAAAGACAGGAAGAAAACCAGAACAGAGATAATAAACAAGAACAACACAATGTGACGCCTGAAGAAAGGAAAATAAGAGACAGGAAGGCTCCATCTCATGGCTCGGGCTCAGCACAAATATCACCCCCCCTGAGAAGCCTTCTCTGACTTCACCCTTCAACATAACCCCCAGTCACTCTCTTCTTTCATAGCACTATTGCTGCCTGAAAAGCTTTTGTGTAGTTATTATTTGGAATTGGATAGCATAGGACAAAGTGTAGTACTTCTTAGCTAAGTAGTCTTGGAAAAATTATTTAATCTCTTTTACCTCAGTTTCTTCCTTGATAAAATGAGGCTATTAGGGACCCAATATTGGAAGAGGTTGGTGAAGACATCTAAGGAACTTACAATGGTGCTAATGGGTGTTTGTTTTCCTGTAAGTGGCTTCTTTCTCTTCTGCCTGACCTTCCTCCTATGATATCAGATTCATGACTGCAAGAAATACGTGTTAAACAGATGACTACAAGGAAAGTCAAGCCTGACAGATGGAATTCCCTATACGGAGTGATTTTTGTCAAAGGTCCTACAAGGAAGGTGTTGGTAGTGTCCAGCCTAAGACTGGGGTCCCTGGCTGGATGCTCCATGGTCTTCCTTTTTCCCTGGATCCTATTTCCAGTTCAGGCTTCCCCCAACCCTCCCACAACCATTCAGCCCACACTCACCCCATAAGAGGAGCAAGCTGAGGTTCCTCATGGTCCCATGCGTCTGTCATTCAAAGAAGGGAACCTCTTCCTTGTTCTCCGGGTTTTCAATAGCAGAAGATATGGGGAGAGGATAGGGGTGGAGCCAGAATTGCTCAACGCCAGCAGGGCAAGACAGCCCTTTTTGCTGAATTTTTCTAGATGAGGATAGTGTGGCAAACCCCTAATTTTCTCTTTCTGCCCTGAAGAAGACAAGTTGATCCAGCTGCTGTGTTGCTGTGGTCCCATTCTCCAGCCTTTCTCCTTCTCCCAACACTTGCTTTTCTTCTTTTCCCATCATCACCAACCTCTCAGCCTTCTTTCCCTGCACCTCCAAGTAACCTACCACCATCTGTCCCCAGCAAAGTGAAGACCGGACTCAAAGGGATCTTCCCAGCCTGCCCCACACAGACAGCCATCTCAGCCTTCACGGATCAGGTGCCATTCTAGACACATGGCATTGAAATTCACTTTCAGCATCACATCCACATCATCGAGTAGAGATTCTGACACCCAACCATCTTACAACGACAACAACCAACATTATAATTAAAAAAGAGAGTGAAGATGGAGACAGGGGTTGTGATTATCAAAGGTCACTTGGAGTTGAGATTTGAATCCAGATCCTCTGGCTCCAAGGCCTTGCCCTTGAACCATTCCATCTGCCTCCAGGTCTCCTACATGTGACCCCAGCACAGCAGCACCTCCAACTCTGCATGCACGATCTCACACACACAGACATCTGGTAATGCCTCAGCCAGAGTCCCCAGAAGCTGATGCTGAGACTGGGATTCTAATGAAAGTAGTTTATCAGGGAGGTGACCCCAGAAAATCCCAGCTGAGGAGGGGAGCAGGGAGATGGGGGCGGGAAAGGGTCCCTAGTGGCCACATCTTCCAGCAAGTTGCACAGTGAGAAACTGGAGCATGATTCTCTGAAAGGCAGCCCAGAACATTCTCAGTTACCCCAACTGAGAAGCAAGGGAGCTGGGGTATATATACAATAGCTACTACCGGTCACAGATTGAGGCTTGTATCAACCCCCAACGCTTTGGGCCTGGCTTCCAAACAGAGAGAATGTGTATAACCTGAGTGTAAGCCTGTCAAGTGACAAATGTCAGTCTAGTGTGCCCTGAAGGGTTCAGGGTCATGGGTGTGGGTTGGCACCAAAAGCATCTATCACATGCTGAAAATGAGGCACAAAAGCTAACGTCAAGTTCTTGCGAAGAAATGCCCCACATGTTTCTGCATTCTCCCATTTGCTCCATGCAAAGCAAAGTACCCCCCTTGGAGGTATGATCACTGAGAAGACTCATCAATGGCCCCCTGTGTGTGCATCAAGGGACCCTGCCCATGTGACTGCAGTTAAGAGCAGCACAGAAACACAGCAAATTCCAAGGAAGAGGATAAACAAGAGGTGTGTTGTGTTACGGAGAAGCCCTGGGGGATAAACAGACTCTAGAGCCAAATCACCAGGAGTTCATATCCCATATCCTCTGCTAGCTAGTCATGTTCTTAATCTCTCTGTGCCTCAACATTCCCATGGTTAAAGTGGGCCCAATAATCTTAGGCTCTACTTCGTAGGGCTGATGTGTGCTTCTGAGGAGCAGGCACACATGACATGTCTAGAACAAAGCCTGGTGTGCAGGAAAAACTCAAGCGTTGGTATGACAGCCACAAGAGGTAGAATCAGACCGAGAATCAAGTCCTGACTCCAGTGTGTTCTCATAGTGACTTTGGCAAGTCACTTCCCTCTGTAGCTTCATCTGGAGAATGAGGGTAACAACAGGCCATGACCCAAAGGATCGCTGTGGAGCGTGTGCTATAATGTAGGGCAATACAGCCAACTGGAAGCAATTTCTGGGACTTGCACATTCCTCTCTAACCCTTGTTCCATGCATCCAAAGTGTGGACACTAGAGGCAGACAGACAAATGCAGTGGCTTTAACTCACATTCACAGATTCCTTGATACTCTTCCCTTCAAGAGGGAGAGCTCTCCTTGGGTGTGCGCTGGGCTTCTTCAACAGGACAAGGAGCGTGTGACACTGTGGCATCTGAAGCATCTGAGATGAGAGAATCACTGTGGCTTCCTATTTGCTCTCTCCTTGTGGGATCATTCACCAGGGGAAGCCAGCCACCCAGCATGAGGAGGAAATGAGGTTTGTGGTCAATGGCTTGCCTGGGACCTCCTGGGGAACCCTGATCCAGAACCACCCAGCTGAGCCACTTCCAGATTCCCAGGCACTCAGAAACTAGAAGAAACTACAACCTTGTTGTCTAAAGCTTCCAATGTTGGAGTGGAAGGGTATGCAGACAGAGACAACTGGTCTACCTAGAAGCAATTTTCCCCATTAGCAAAAGTAGGACAACACCAGCTTCATAGGGTTTGAGGTTTAATGTAATGAAAGCACAAAATCGTGCCTGGCACAGATTAAATGCTCAGTAAAATTTTATGGTATTACCGTCATTATTCTCTTGTTATACTAGATTGTCATGGCTACTCATAGGAGCCCTTGTACCAGCGAATGTCTGAACAGGAGAAGTCAGCAAAGATCCTTTCATGCAAAACCTTCTAAAGTGGGTGAGTTTAGACTTGATCCTCAGGGCATCAGAAGGAATTTCAGCAAGGTTGAAAGGCAGACTGGGGCTTTACACTAGCCATGCCCTGGACCCAGCAGGAGCCCCCTCCCCTGGGAAGGCTGGGGCTGCATCCAGAGGAGAGAAAAGTGAGATGGCCTGGTCTAAGGCAGGGGCTATGGGGACCAAGAGGAAGTTAGGAAGCCAGTACAGCAGACTGGGGAACACCTGGAGGTTTAGGGGGAGGAAAAGTCTGAAACAAAGATAGTTGACATTCAGAATGGGGAAGGGCAGGGGACAGGCTGCAAACCTGTTCCCCAGGTGTGATATTGTGTGACATTCCTAGGGAACTTCAGGGGTCCAAGAAGAAAGGGAAGGGGAAAAACAAAGGGTTAACTGATAGGGGTCATGGTCCTGCAGGAGCTAAGTCTCCATCACTTTCCATCCTGATGTGGGGAACAAAGGCAGAAGGAAATGGTAGATAGAACTAAATTTTCTTATAACCTGCAGCCCATTGACAACTACTTGAGGCAGGCAGAGTAAAATATTGCTCCAGGAATTCCTTACTGTCTTAATGTCACTGCTTTGCTACAGGGAAACACAACCTTAGCCTGTCACTAGCTAGGTTTCCAGTATCCTGTGAGTCTTCTTTAGCATATGAAAATCTCACTGGAAACTTCCCCTGGACTTTACCTTCCTGGACTCCATAGTATATAACCTGTCTCTCCTCGTGGTCCAGGGCAGCTCTTCTAGCCCACAGGTCCTGTCCCCGTGCCTCAATAAATCATCTTTTTGCACCAAAGACATCTTCAAGAATTCTTTCTTGGTCGTCAGCTCCATACCCCACGAACCCCACTATCACCCCAAAGCCTCGACAACCTCCCAGATAAATGACTTGTTCTCAGCTCCTTTTCTCAGGGTCTGCTTCTGGAGGGACGCAACCCAGGACGCGGCGTAACAACACAAGTGTCTCCTGCCCTCGTTTGACACAGTCTCTGTGAAAGAAAGGGCAGAGTTCACCATCCACCAGCTGTGTGGCCTTGATCCTGCTACTTCTCCAGAGGGCCCTTGGGCTCAAGTGAGGACAGTGTCAGCACCTTCTCTGCCGGAAGGTCAGGACTGAATGGGATGCGTGTGCAATTTGCTCACCATGGAACCTGGTGCAGTGATGATGCAAAGGGGGAAATGGTGCTTGGGAGCTGCAAGCAATAGGCAAAAGGCGGCAGGAGTTATGTCGTCTCCCCTGAAAAGGGCTCCATCCCTCTCCGTGAGGCAGGTTGCAGACCCCAATTTCCTTCCCCTGGAATTGGGCAATGACTAAGCTCACCTCCAGAATTCCTGACATGTGATCCTGACAGAGTCAGCAGGACAGTGAGGCCTGGAACAGAGACAGGGGGACAGTTCAGTCTGGCTGAAGCCCGGGGGGAATAGAAGCTTCGTCTCCCACCACCCAGGGAATACCTGTGCTAACTTCACCGCAGTCTTCCAGGTAGATTACAAAGGCGAGGGTCAGGGAGGGCATCATATATTAATGAAGCGGGCACGGGGCCATCTGGTTGCGGCTGTAAGAGGGCCTACACCCAGTTTCAATGTGGGAAGTTTTGTGTGGTGGGCGAGGGTGGGTGGGAGTTCCCACACCTACAGTCAGTGCTCTGACACCAACTAGGTGTCCTACAATTCAGCTCAACTTCCACACCATCTACCAGAGACAGCAGCAGACCCCATAGGTTAAAGGCTTGCTCCCACAAGACCCCCCCCTTTCAGAAGCCTTAGAAATCCTAGGTTGTTATCTGCTCCTCGAGTTGCATTAATGCGCTACAGCAGCTCACAGAACCATTTCAGTTACTAGATTGCTGACTGTAATACCTAAATCTAACTGATTCCATTTCAGATTAAACCTCCATCTTGAGAGTGAACTAGGCCCGAACCTAGTCCCAGGTTCTGCCCTTAGTCACTTCCTAGCTATGGCAACAGCCAATCAGTTTAAAACAGGTGCCTATATCCTAAGACGTTCCGGTTGGCAGTTTGCAGTCAGGCCAGATGGGCCAAACCAATTGGGTGCTGACAAGACAGCCTGTACCTATCAGGAGTCTGCCAGGAGGCTGCCAAGCTGGAACGCCGCAAATTCCACTGTAAGCACAATGAAAAGCCCTGCGATCACGAGCTCGGGGCTCCATATCTTCTCCGCTGCATCGGGGTACATTGGAGTCCCTGCTCGAGTTTGTAATAAAGACCCTTTTGTACTTGCATCCGTGTCGGCTCCTTGGGGGTCTCAGGGGACTCATGAATTGGGCATAACATGACCTGTTAGGAAGAGGTATCACTCAGGAACACGGGAGGGAGGGGACGTATGGAGCAAAGTACCGGGAAGGGCGCAGAGCCTCCTTGCCCTCTCTGAGGGCCATTCGCCCCAGACCTGCTTCACCAGCCCCAGCAGCCTCTAGGGTCTTCAGGAGGCTTC